GAAGGAGATTGTAAATCACTCTGAGATTCTTTTGGGTAGTGAAAGAGGGGGGTATAAATCTAATCTCTATTCTTCTTCTTTTGGGTGGGGGAGAAAGATATGCACTACTTACTTTCCTATCAAAACTAAACTCTTTTACTTATCAACATAAAAACATCATTTATCACTCTAGTTAGCATATAAAATAGCACTATTTGGCATTTTTATGGAACTTAAAAGTATAACTAGGTTCGACAACATATAACTAGCTTCATTTCCAGTAAGAAAAGTCCCAGTACTTGAGAATGAGTTGCAAATTGCTGCACCCTATGCTACCACAACACATGTATCTTTAATTTTTGCCAAGAGGTAGGAAAAGTAAAAGTTGAAAGGAGAAAGCAAATTCAGTGGTAAAGGTAAGAAAGTGTATTATTTGGACAGAAACTGTCTCATAGAGTCACAATAGGGTTGCACTGCCAGGATATCTGGATATTAAGCTCAACTTTATTACATAGAAAACACTGAAGTTTTCAATGATGTATTATCATGTGCCCTGATCTTGTGAGAGCTCGGAAGCTAAGCAGGGTCGGCCCTGGTTAGGATTTGGATGGGAGACCACCAAGGGAGTCCAGAGTTGCTATGCAGAAACAGGCAATGGCAAACCACCTGTGAGCATTTCTTGTCTTGAAAAGCCCTACAGGGTTGCCATAAGTCAGCCGAGACACGACGGTACTTTCCACCATCACTGAACACATTATAGCATCAGTTTGGTGTTGTAGTTAAGTGCGCGGACTCTAATCTGGGAGAACCGGGTTTGATTCCCCACTCCTCCACTTGCACCTGGCTGGATGACCTAGTTCTGGCACAGCTGTCCTTGAAAAAGAGCAGTCCTTGAAAGAGCTCTCTCAGCCCCACCTACCTCACAGAGCGTCTGTTGTGGGGAGGGGAAGGGAAAGGAGTTTGTAAGCCGTTCTGAGACTCCTCTGGGTAGTGGAGGGCAGGGTATAAATCCAATCTCCTCTTCTTCTTCTTCTTCTTCGTTGCCGATATTATTCACATTAAACAAAGCAATCCAGACAAGGTGGTGTATGTCTGTAGATTCAGGTGGGGTAGCCGTGTTGGTCTGAAGCAGCAGAACAAAGTTCGAGTCCTTTAAGACCAACAAAGTTTCATTCAAGGTATACGCTTTCATGGGTACGCACACTTCTTTAGAGACATCGAAATGGAAGTTACCCGTCCAAACGTATAGGTACGCGAGGGTGAGCAGCAAATTAGCATAGGCATTTTTTTTAAAAGGTGTCCCTCCTTGTGCAAATGGAAAAGCAGGCAGGGCCAAAGTCTGACATTCCTCACACCCTCCAAATCCCCACACAAAGGACTTCCTCTTCTTTTTAAGCACCAACAGACACCACCATCCTCCCATCGGCCTGGTGGAACAATGCCAGTGTCCCAGCTCCAGAGGGTTCCTGGGGAATGCACTGATGGCTTGGCATTTCTGCCTACCTTCAGGAGAGCCTTTCTTGGTTGGTGGTGGAAAGCGTCACCAAGCCGCAGCTGACTTATGGCGACTTCGCAGGGTTTTTAAGGCAAGAGGTGAACAGAGGTGGTTTGCCATGGCCTGCCTCTGTGTGGCGACCCTGGACTTCCTTGGTGGTCTCCCATCCAGGTACTAACCAGGGCAGACCCTGCTTAGCTTCCAGGGTCTGATGTGATCTGGCTGACCTGGGCCATCCAGATCAGTGCATTGTCAGTTACGCCTCCTTAATAGAACAGTTGCTCTCCTCCCCACTCAGGCAGACCAAAAGCTAGCTGTAGAAATTTGAGCTACAGCCTTTTGCCAGCCTAGTAATCCTATTGAGCGCATGAAGCTGCCTTATACTGATTCAGACCTTTAGTCCATCAAGGTCAGGATTGTCTTCTCAGATGGGCAGCGGCTCTAAAGGGTTCCCTCTAAGCTGTGGAGTCCTGTGAGCGAAAATTCCACTTTGTTGAGCTACTGGAATTAAAGTTGTGAGCAAGCAATTGGGCTGCTGCCTAAATTACTTTGCTCTGGAGCCATCCTTCCTGAGCTAATGCAAAAAAAAAACCTGTGAGCTAGCGGACACTAACTCAGCTTAGAGGGAACACTGGTCACAGGCAGATAAAGGTCTTTCACATCACCTATTACCTGATTCTTTTTTTAAAAAATTGGAGATTGGTTGATTTTTTTCTATGTGTGTAGTGTAGCCAGGAGATCCTATGATTGTCTGACAGCCAAAAGTTCTAGCTCTTTAGCGTTATCCAGGGTGCACCACGAAGGGAAGAGCTAGGATTTCACCCCTGTTTAAATGGCGCAAAATGCCAGGACCCGAATGCGATCGTGGTGCAGCCTGCCAAACCATTTTCCATCTGTCATCGGAATGTGAACATCGTGCTTTCCAGGGAGATGTGATGGAACTGTCTGAACTCTCCCCAGGTGCGACTGAGTGGACTGAAAATTTAGATGTTAATGTTTAGGGGGGTTGCCCAATCAGTCTGCATACCTATTGTATCAACTTGGTTACATATTTTATATCATTATATGCTTCCTGTGTGTAACTCTGCCGACCGATAAATAAATAACTGGAGATGCCAGGAATTGAACTTGGGGCCTTCTGCATGCCAAGCAGATGCTCTACCACAGCCCCCTCCCATTCTAGGTTAACCTCTGAGCATTAGCAGAGCACAAACACAAATCAAACCTTCCTCTTCCAAATCATACCCTCACCCTTGATTTGGCCCACGGATCTCCTGTGCCCCATCTGTTTTCACCCTAGTATTCCAAAGTTGCCCTGAGATCTGAACTCAGCTCTCCCATGTCCATATTCAACATAAAGAGATTATTTTCTTCCTTTCTGACTGGGGCTTTTATTTGCTTTCCTATGAAGCTGATGGATGATTTCATAAAGAATTTTGCTGCCTAACCAATATATGTGTTCACAAGGCACTCAAGCATTAGATCGTTCTGTCTTATCTTCTCCTCCCAGGTACAGTTGCTTGAAATGTGGCCGCTCAGGCGAGGCCAGAGATGCAAACTATAGGTATCGGCTCTCACTCGAAGTCGCTGACGCTCACAGGGTGTTCCTGGTAACTGTCTTTGGCAGCTGCTTGGAAGCTTTCTTTGGAGTCACAGCAGAGAGTCTGCAGAGGTAAAAGAATGCGACGCTTCTGTCCTCACGATCGAGCCGCCTTCCCCCAATGCCTCCCAGCCTGTGCGTGATTTAATTATATCTCTAAAACATTTGTTGTTCAGCTAGCTGCCTGGTTACCAAGCTGGTATGTGTTAATAAGGGCAATCAGATTTGTGCTGCTATAAAAAAAAATACTGTGGACCTTTTACCAGGCCAGTATATTCTAAGCTGCAACACTGCTGGGCATCTGGGATTCGAATGCTGGATTCAGTGAGTGACCGTGAGAAATAATTAAACCTGGACTCAGAGCTCCCCATTTGCTGAGCATGCCTTGCAGCCAAAGGATTTGTTGATTGGTGGTACGTGAAATAAGAACATAAGAAGCGCCCTGCTGGATCAGACAAATGGTCCATCCAGTCCAGCCTCCTGTCTCACACAGTGGCCCACCAGTTCCTCTGGAGGGCCAACAACAGGGCATGGAGGCCAAGGCCTTCCCCTGATAAGAACCTAAGAAGAGCCCTGCTGGATCAGACTAGTGATCCATCTCGTCCAGCCTCCTGTCTCAGACAGTGGCCAACCAGTTGCTCTGGAAGGCCAACAACAGGGCATGGAGGTTGAGGACTTCCCCTGATAAGAACAGAAGAAGAGCCCTGCTGGATCAGACAAATGGTCCATCCAGTCCAGCATCCTGTCTCACACAGTGGCCAGCCAGTTCCTCTGGAATGCCAGCAAACAGGGCCGAGAGGGCAAGGCCTTTCCCCTGACATTGCTTCTTGGCACTGGGATTCAGAGGTTTTTAGTACCTCTGTATACGGAGTCTTCCTGTAGTTACAATGGCTGGTAGCCACTGATAGACCTATCCTCCATGAATCTTTCTGACCCCTTTTTAAAACTGTATATTCCTGTGGCCACTGCTACATCCTCTGGCAGTGAATTCCACATTTTAATCATTCTCTGTGTAAAGAAGTATTTCCTTTTTGCTGTCCCATCTTGCTGCCTCTTCACTTTCTCTGCCTTCTTAAGATAGACAGGTCCCAATGCTAATGGCAGCAGGCTGTAGGATTTTTCTCTGTGTGTCATTCAGAAAGGCACAGGAATCCCATTGCAAGCCTATAGCCCCCCCCCCCCTAAAGAAGTATTTCCTTTTTGCTGTCCCATCTTGCTGCCTCTTCACTTTCTCTGCCTTCTTAAGATAGACAGGTCCCAATGCTAATGGCAGCAGGCTGTAGGATTTTTCTCTGTGTGTCATTCAGAAAGGCACAGGAATCCCATTGCAAGCCTATAGCCCCC